GATTGTTCTAATTACTCATGATCGTGTCCTCAGTGTGTTTGCAAAGTACCACTGAATTCTGGAGCATTCTTCTTTCATAAACCTTCCTTGGTCATTTTGTGAATTCTCTCAAAATGGAATCCTAAACTAATGGAGCTAAAAGACACTCCCTCATTTATATAGGGAGGAGTTACTCAGGCCTGGGAAAAGGGGAGGGGTCTAAGTCCCTGTTAGAACTCAGGCCTTCCGGCCCAGGGCCTCCTCTTGCTTCCCAACATCCCTCCAAAGGATAAGCACCATCCCCGCTTGTAGCAACTATAATAAACCCAGAAATAGAGGGCATTCTATCAATGAGTAACATAATAAGCTTCAGATGATGAGAGGGCAGTGATTATCAAAAACAGGTCAATGCTGACCACTTCTACATACAAGGCAAGATGTCTGGCCTTTGGTTGGAGCCATAAGTAGGAGTAAATCCCAGCAAAACCCTCAAGTTTACAACTTAGGAGACCCCCACTAAGAGTCACCCTAGGAGGCCACTTACAGATTAGCACTGTGGGCCTTTACGGGGTCTCTGCTTGGGCAGGGTTGAGAGTGGTTCGGAGTCAGAAGTATGGTACTATATGGATCTTGGGCAGGTGGGAGTGGCCACAGAGAGTGTTGGAGGGATCAGTGTGAGCAAAAGCCTGGAGGGCATTCATGCTCAGGGAGAGAGAAGTTCCATCTGCTTGCTTGCCTATCACACAGGGTAGTGAGTATTTCTGCCTTAGTAATTTTATGCAACTAATTTATCCTCAGCCCGTTCCCTCCAAACTGCCTGCTCTGGCACAGGGAGGGTATCTGAACTCACCTGGAATAATGAAGCCCCTTGCCGAAGAGTGGTAGCGCGCAGGCTGGGGTAGCTGGGCCCCTGGGGCCTATGTTGGGCAGGCAAGGTGCCTAGAAAAAGTGAGTTTGAGTTCAGCTCCTGGCATTTCCTTTGACTTCAGGTATGAGTCCCCCATCTTGAATGTGCCTTCAGGCTCACCTCTACATGGTCCCAAGCTGGCCTCTGCCTGCACCACAGCAAGAGGCCTCTGCGCCATGCCCCTCGAGGACAGGCCCTCGCCGAACAGTGCCAGCCTCCACACTATGTGTAGCTCTGAGTGGCGGGCCCAGCCTTGTGTGCTCATCAGAACCCAGCGGGCTCCACCCAGACCCTAGATTTCCTCATCTTGACAAACAACCTTTGTTCCTTCTAATGACAGAGCCCCTGGTTTAGCAAATGTTCGCGAAGTTAGAAGTATTTTAATGCCTGCTAAGTGCCAGGCAGGCACTATTTACAGTGCAGGGACGGGAATAAAACAAACTTGTGAGCCCCTGCCACTTCCATTCTACCGAGGAGGTGATAAGAAGCTGGAAGCTTCCGTCTATACTGTGTGCTGGGATTTTTTGACTCAAGATTGCCTTTTGAGCCTATGATTTAACACCCTTTCCTTACAAAGCCCTGCAGGAAGTCACTAGGCTTTCCCGACCCATAAAAGAGACCCACAGGCTGAAGGGGGCCCAACGAGGGGTCGCTCTGCCACAGAGCACCGGGCTGACAACAAGGAGCGGGTACCTTGACGTCTGAGGCCATCAAGCAAGTCTAAGTAGGGTAGGCTTAGCAGAGGCCAAAGGATCAGTCTGAGCCCCATGGGGCTCTGTGCAGAGTTTCGGGAACTGAATTCGTAGAAACAGAAACACAAAAGCTAGTGTAAAGTCATCACATGCACGTGATATAAAATCCCAGCCTTGGAAGAGCCTATTGAGCCGACTCCCAAGAGGTAGTCTGCTCGTTCTGAGTTCGACTTTAACGATAATGACAGTAACCGGCACAAGCAAATGTGCCTACACTGTGCCAGGCGCTGGTAAGGTAAGTGCCTACTTGCCCTTGTATGAGGGGGGCGGAGGCTTCAGAGGTGGAAGAAGCGAGTCCAGGCGGTGAGACTGCCCGCTTCCCCACTGCTCTGCCCCCCTGTAAATCGTCACGGGCTCTTCTCTCATTGTGCTGCTGTTGCTTCGTGCCGACGAAAGCCTGGCATAGATGCTCTAGGAAAACGGGATCGTGGCTTTAAAATGGAAAACACTCCATCCGTTACCTGAAAGCAGTAAACTTTCACGTGCATCAGGATCCCCTGGAGAACTTGTTAAGACATGGATTTCTGGGCCTAACCCCGTGTCTGATTGAGTAGGTCTGGGGCACGGGCTGAGGATTCGCATTTTTAACACATTCCTAGATGACGCTAATCTGCTCTGGAGACCAGACGTTTGACTTTGGAGAATCACTGCCTTTAAGTCTTTCCCTGTAAATTGGGAACTGAATGTTTTCATTCCGTTATTGGAAATGCCCGTGCTACACAGAAACGCAATTTGAGTCTTTGTTACTCATGATTCAGCAAAACAAGCACACGCATCTCTTAGTGCTTTCAGATGTTGGAGCCAAGCACACCCAAACGCCATCCCACTGTCTCAGCCACTGGGCAGGTCTGAGACCATCGAGGCAAGTCTCCCCCTGGGAGTAAGGCCCTAGGCTAGTCTCAGCCCCCATGGTCTTGAGCTCCCACCCCTGCCCCGCCGTGCGCTGTGCCTTTGCTGCGGACAGTGCACCTGACATGCCTCCTTAGGGCTGAGACTGAGCTGGCATCCCACCCAAGGTGCACAATCCCTGTCTGGTCCATTTTCTTCCAGTTCTTCCCCCAGGTCCTTGATGCCGACTGCCCCCTGAGGTCTTGACCATGACTTTCCTGACCTGTCTGTCTCTCCCTTGCTGCCCTCGTTGTCAAGTCCCTCCCGTAGGACACTGGTACCTTGCTCTCCCTTTCTTCACCTCCCTCCTCCCCATTTCTTCCTTCAGCACATATTTCCTGAGGACTCGGTATATGCCTGTTCCAGTTACTGGGGGCACAAGCAGTACCCCTCCTTGAAGCCTAGAAGACAATGGTAATTCATGTGATGAGTGTTACGGGAGAGAGAGCGGGGCATCTGTTGGGGGCGGTCTAGGCGGACCCCTCTTGGTGAGCCACAGACTTCCTGATCATCTCCGTCTTCCTCCAGAACATGTGCATTCTGCACATATCTCTTTCCTCAAGATACTGTTTCTTCCCAGTCCCAACACATGCAGGCCACTCCTCCCCGCTTAAACCCACAACTGGACCACGACTTCATGTTGGCATGGTTCACGACTGCCCGCTGCTGGCCAGGGCTGTGTCCATATCCTTGTTCCACGTCCCCCATTGCCACATGGGGAGGCTGTGCTCTCATCTCTGCCACCTGCCCAGCTCCAGAACACTCCTGGCTATCTTTCTCCACGTGTTTGACTCATCACCGCATCATTCCCACCCCAAGAAACCACTGTCCATGATGATGACCCACCCAGCAACCCAGCTTAGAGTTCTTTGGCCTTCCTCGTTCTCAAGAACGTATTTTACTCTTCAGTCACACCCATAACTAGATTTTGTCACCTCCTGTCAACTGCTCTACCTCTGGTTTCCCCTCACATTTTAGCCCACCATAATCCCAAACAGTGCAAGTACAGTTCTAGATTCCTCCCATTGGGATGCGTGAAAAGGGGGCGGCGTGGGGGGGAGGGGGAAGAAACCTAGTAAGTATCCCAGAGGGGTATGCCCTCACTATTATAAGAGTTAGGTTTTGTAAACCAGCCTTTCAAAGAGCAATTTCAAAAGCAATAAGTGACTACTTTCGTTGTAAGGATTACAAACCTGCGCCTACACGATAAGTTGGGGGTGGGGCAAGAACTGCCCTCACGTGGTGACTTGGATCAAACTTTCCAATGACGATGTCAGATAAGTATTTTAAAATGCTGCAGCTCAAACAACTTGGATGCAGTTGAAGGATATGTTCTTCAAGACACTGTGGCTCTGGATATGACGAAGACGTTGATGTCCAAGATGCATGTAGAGAGTTGGAATAAAATTGTTACTTGAAATGTAAGAATGGGGGGAGCAATATTTTGTATTACTGTATTATTGTATATAATGTTATTTTAAATATGCACGTGTAACTGAATAAATTAGATATTATGATTAGACATCTGACTGTTTCATCAACATTCCTAAAAGTTTAAATATCCGGATTGACCCCTTAATTTTTAACAATCTTTTCATTAGGAAAATAGGGATTTGCCTTAAATCTAAGATCACCTATATCATTAATGAACTCCCAAGTTCCTTAATTAGCATTTAACATACTGACTGATCTAGCTGCCTAGATCTTGGAACACTAGACTTTATTTTTTTTTAATTTTTACTTTTAAATATTTATTTTTGAGAGAGAGCACAAGTGGGGGAGGGGCAGAAAGCAAGGAAGACGCAGAATCCGAAGCAGGCTTCGGGTTCCGAGCTGTTAGCACAGAACTAACTCGATGTGGGGCTCGAACCCACAAACAGTGAGATCACGACCTGAGCCAAAGTTGGACGCTCCACACTAGAATTTAAACCACACCTACCCCTTTCTACCTTTGTTCAGTGGGCTTTTACCCCTCTGAGCCCGTGCCTTTGCTCAAGCAACACCTACAACTTAAAATGCCCTTCTCTAAACTCCACATAAAGAAGTCCTCATTTCTGAAGGCTGGCTCCCTTCCTCCCTTGCCTCCTCCTCTAGAAACCTTCCCTGATGTCCTGTCCGTCTGAGTTGCTCTGAGCACATCCTCACACACCATTCAGTGTGGTGTCATGGAGGGTTGGTTCTGGGCCTGTCTCACCAGATGTGAGGAAGCTCTTCCCAGGAAAGGCCTGGGGTTGACCCCGAGGAGCATGGCTCAGGAGATGCTGGGGGGTGGGGGGCTTGCTCTAAATGAATCAGGCCCAGCTAATGGTCTTCCAGGCCTATGTGCACAGATTCAGAACCAAGTCTTCCTGTGCCTTAGGGGCTAAAGGGGGTCTCTGCTCCTGGCAAGAGGTTGATGTTGGGATGTCTTACACTTGTCCAACAATTCATAAGGTCTGACTTACAGACGCCTGACTGTCCTGAGACCCTTCCAGGAGGTCTACGTGGTCAAAATTATGTATCATAATAACACTAAAGACATTAATCGCCCTTTGCACCGTGTGGATATTTGCACTGATAATGCAAAAACAATGGTGAAACTTCTGGAATCTTAGCAAGAATCTAGACAGTGACACCAAACTACCAGCGGTCATTGTATTCTTCACAACTGTGTGACTTGTCATGATTCCCATAAGAATGTCCTTGGCGAAGCAGAAACAATTATTAGTTTTATTAAATCTCAAACACATGTTTTTCAATTGCATGTGGGACAAAATGGGAAGCACGCATAAAGCACTTCTGCACGGTGACTATGACCGTGGCCTGCAGGACAAGCACTTAGGCAATCGTGCGACTTGTTAGCAGAACTGGCCGCTGTGGTCATGGAATATGTGAAAGACCAGACAAGCTGGTTATTCAGACTTGGGTGTTTTTTTTTCTTCAAATATTTATTTATTTTGAAAGAGCACATGTGCACACACACACACACACACACACACACACACACAC